GGCGATAGTGCTACGCTGGCGCACGCGCTTGGTTTGCCGAACTTCAACCAGCTTCCAATCGAGGAGTTGATTCGGGCTTGCGCCGATTACGCCGAACGCAAGGACGCATACTCAGCGCCAAACGTGCCGTATCAGGCGTCGACTCGTCCATCGTACCCCGCACCGACGGCTACGAACATCCCGGGCACCAACAACCAGTATCCCTCAAATGCGCGGAACCAGCGTCCTTCGGTACCTCGCGCACAGCCCGCTCCACGGGTCTTGCAACCAGCGCCGCAAGCTTCGGCCCCGACGACTTCGGCGGCTCCGGCAGCGTCTGGTCCGGATGACTTGACTGCCCGCATGCGCGACCTTTCCATCAAGACCGCCGGTAATAGCAACCAGTATCCTCCGGGCCTTCCCAGCGCGCGCCCTCAACGCCGCGACCGCGCCTGCTTTCGTTGCGGACAATCCGGCCACATCTTCAGGGATTGTCAATCCACCACGAAACTGGATACCTGGCGTGGGTACCAGTTAGCGGCCGCCTTCTACCCCGAAGAAGTCCATGAGTACGACGAAGATCATACCGAATATTACTCGATGGTCCTCCGCGATGTGGGCCACTACTACGCGGACCCGGAAGACCAGGATTTTCCCAATGGGAGCTCGGAGCAGTAGGGGACTCCGACCTCCCGCAATACGATCCTCCGGATCCCCGCCCAATGTCGTTGGCGATTTTTATGGCTGAGAAGAGAAAAGCGGATGAGCTCCCGTCCGAACCGGCTTCGAAATGACTGAACACTTCGACGCACCCGATGCCCTTCCCGGCACGGCCCCCGCTCAAGACTCGTCCCTCGGTGACGCCCGCCCGCCCGCCGGGTGTCCTTCCTTCACGTTACACTGTCGGTCAACAACAGAGTACGCCGATGCCGGCGCGGTTTCCCCCGGTACCTCCCCCGCCGACCAGATTACCTCCTACACCCATTGTCGAGTTACCTCGCGTTACTCCACCGCCTAAATCGGTACGCTTCAACACTCCCACCAGTACACCGATGGAGATCGATCCCCGGGGGACATCCGGTCCAACCCGACCTGCCGCACCGCACAAGCCGCCGTCACCGATTGTTCCCACCCGCAAGTCCCCCTCACCGCCGCCCCGCGCCGATTCCCTGGTCGGTGATGACGATCCGCGCATTCCTGCTCCCATCCGTGCGCTGATTGACAAGAAACAATTCGATATCGTCAACTTCCTCAACGAGACTGAAGTGCGCGGACTTACTCTTGCCGACCTACTCCAATGGAGCCCGGCCTTACGCGAACGCCTCCGCGACGCGATGAAACTCGTCCCCAAGGTGCGCCGCGCGGCTCTATGTTTTCGCGAACCTCTACTTGGTGCCTGGCACCCTGACGCTGAGCCTCCGGACCATGACAGCGACAACACCCTCAACGGACGTCTCGACTTTCACCTCAAAGCTCTCTCCAAGGTTGATGTTTCCGCAACCGGCACCCATTACATGAACGCGCTCATCCAGAATTCGCCCGCGAAGTGCCTCTTCGACGGTGGTTGCTGCTTGATCGCCATCAGCGCCGAGGTCCGCAAGCGCCACCAATGGACTCTCACCAAGGTTCCTTCTACCTTTCATTTGCGCCAAGTTGACGGTTCCGCTCCTAAGCTCGAGGGAGAGGTCCACAACCTCGTCGTCACCATCGAGGGTCATCAAGTTCCGATCAACGTCCTTTCCATCGTCGGAATGGACGCCGAGTGCTTACTAGGTCGTCCATTTCTGGAGATGGTAATGGGCATCACCCATTGGAAGAATTCCATTTACCATTTCAAGATTCACGGCTCCTGGATCCTCGTCCAAGGTAGCACTGGAGAGACGCGCGAAGTCCGTACCCTCACGGCGGCCGAGGAACGTGAATGGGATCAGCACGGTCGTACACCCCTTCTCGATATCACTCCTCCGGCGCCACGCACCCGTTCCCAAACCAGGCAAGCCAACATCTCCTCATTGATCGCTGACGGCTTCAAGGTGGAGATCGATCACACGGGCGATCAGACGCTCGCTGACATTCGTAGTGGCGCTCTCTTCGGCATACTACAAACTGAGCCCTGTCCACCCCTACCCGGCGACTACTATTCCCCGGATTCCGATCAGATGGATTTCCGCATCAACCTGCTACGCACCTTCGCGAATGCCCCGGTCCCCAACCAGATCACCGTCCCGGCTTTCCGACAACTTAAACAGGCTTTGCAACTCGAGCCCAAACTGCCCGAATTCACTCTCCCCGCGACACATGAGTTCCGCTTCCTCACGTGGAATGTTAATTCTTTGCGCAACCTCGTCCGCAAGGGGGTCGACCTGGGCTCCCTCTTCAACCGCCTGAACCTCGATATCGTTTGTTTCCAAGAAATCAAGTGTTCGCGTTCTTCATTACCGCTGTCGCTCACGGACATTCCGGGTTACCGCTCCTTTTGGTCGCTCAGTGAGACCAAACAAGGTGTCAAAGGCGTTGGGACGTACGTCCGCGCTGAGTTAGCCGCTACGCTACGCAAGGTCACAACCGACGCTGATCTACCGATCGACCCGGACGCCGATTGTGAGGGCCGTGTTCTCGCCCTCGACTTCGACCAATGCACCGTGATCAACGTCTATTATCCGAACGGCGGGATGGGCGACGCTGATCAACAGGCTCATGCGATTACTTCCAAGATCGCCCTCCATCAGACTCTGCTTCAGATCGCCACCGCGGCCCGGACGAGCGGACGACACGTCATATTCGCCGGCGATTTCAACGTTGCGCATACCGATTCGGATGTTCACCCCAACCTGAAACACCAGATGCACACCGGTGTGACCCCAGCGGAGCGACAACTGCTCACGCATTTGACCGATCACAATTTCGTCGACACTTACACTACCTGCCACCCTGACGCGCCGGCCGGTGATGGCTACACCACATGGTGGTTCTCCAAGCACGCGCGCGAACGGAACATTGGGCTTCGACTCGATTATGTCTTCCTCGGTCTGCCGGATGCGGATTATACTCCTCGTATCACTTGCAATGTCCTGCACGAACTCCACGGCTCCGATCACGTTCCGCTGTTATTCACCCTACGCACCATAGTCAAAGAAACGATCCCCGAGTATCACGCCAAGATGTCGTCGTTAGTCAACGCTTCCCCGGAGTACGTTTCGCCCCTAGCCCCCCGCGACTCACCTACGCTCGTCCGCCAAGTCGCCGGCATCACTATCGAGTCGATCACTGCGCGATCCATACGCCCGACACCCATGCGCCCACTCAAGGTCGGCACCCGCACCTTCCAGGTTGCCGAAGATTTACCACCCGCGGTCGTTACCGAGTTAGAACAACTTCTTCACGAATACCACGACGAGTTCTGCAATAAAGACGAAGTGCCCCGCACCTTCAAGAACGTGCCTGAAATGAATCCGGTCTTGAAGCCCGACCATACCGGTCAACGCAAACTCCCTTTCCCGAAAACGCGCGCGCACAGCCCCAAGGATACCAAGGTGTTAAACGAATGGTGCGACCGGATGCTCCGGTGGGACAAGATCGAGCCGGTTACCGATCCCCCAGTGGTCGCTGCGCTGCCCATCGTCGTCTACAAGAATGGTGTAGCGCGGGTATGTGCGCACTTCAAGGTCAACAGCGAGATCCAAGCTTTCCGGTACCCCATCATTCCCGCTCACCTTACCTTGCAACGTGTCGCCGCGGCCGACCGCATCACGGCCTTCGACTTCCGCCTCGGCTATCATCAGTCCCCACTCCATGTCGCCGCTCGTTACCTCACCACCATCTTACTTCCGCGCGGGATTTATCAGTACAAAGTCGGACCCATGGGCTTCATCGACACGGGCGAATGGTTCTCCTTCCAAATCGACACCATGATCGGCGAAGTCAAGTTACTCAAGGACCACACCCACCTCTTTCGCGACGACGCTTACCTGTGCGAAGACAATTTAACAGACCACTCCAGACCCACACACATTGACCGCCTCCGCGCATTCTTGGAAACCGCCCGCACTCACAACGCTTCAATCTCCGAGCACAAATGTCTCTTCGCCGCTGGCCGGGTCCCCGCGCTGGGCAAACTCGTCGGCAATCGACAAATCGCGACCACCGCCAGTAAACTTGACGTCGTCGCCCAGTGGCCTACCCCACGCCATCAAGAAGACCTCCGTTCCTTCCGCGGTTTCATCGGCTTCATCTCGGACGGGCTTCCTGACTACGGTCTCTTGATGGCACCTTTGAATACGCTCCTCCGCAAAGAATTCGCCGATAAACGCAAGTTCCGCGCCGAATGGCTCCGCTCCCAAGAGTACTGTCGTGCCTTTTTAGATGTCAAGCAGCTCGCATCCGACAGCTTCGTTCTTCACGCATACGACCCTAATCGGCCGTTGATCATCGCCGCCGACGGGTCCGGTACCGGCGCCGGGGTTGTGGTCGCTCATTGTCTCGATCCCGCCGATGACTACCGGGTTACGGCCGACACTCGCTACGTTCCATGTGAATTCTTCTCCCGCACATGGACCGGAGCCGAGCTTCACTACGAACAACCCGAACGAGAATTGGCTGCCATCATTTTCGGGTTGCTGAAAGCGGAAGTCCACCTCACCTTCGAATTCTACATTATCACGGATCATCAAGCTTGGGTCAAGTGTCAGAACGCGCATACCAAGAATCGACGCATCCTCAAATGGTTCAACTACATCAACGCACTCCCTACCGCTGACGGTTGGCCGAAATATATCTTCCGCCGCACGGCCGCCCACATCGACGCCGACGCTCTCTCCCGTCGACCCGCAGCCCCGAGCGAACTTCTCACTTCCACGATCGACGATGAGCTGGATCTGACGCATCCGTGCCCGCTGAACGACATTCACATCAGCGCCAACATCAACCTCCTCACGCTCGGTTGGGAACCGTACGACTCCATTCACGCTTACCTCCGGGGAGATCACGCATTCCTTGGTACCGACCCGGCACACGCTACGCGCCTCCGCTCATTGGCTCACCGCTTCTTCATCTACGACGGTCGCCTCTATCGCCGCAGCCTTCCTCGCATGCCACCCCGACTGGTCCCCCGTTTAGAGGATGTCGCAGCCATCAAGCGTACCTTCCATGGCGACCATCCGGGCTCCTTCGGCCATCTCGGCGTCTTGACAGCGTATCAGATGATTGCCTTACGCTACTTCTGGTTCAACTTGTACAGCGACATTGAAGAGTGGGTGCGCGCCTGTCCAGTATGTCAGCTCCGTCAATTACGCCGCCCCAAGCAATACCAGCTGTTTCGCATCATTCCCCCGGCGCTCCTCTTCACGTTGTTAGGTCTCGACTGCGTCACCTACCCGAACGCCCAGATCGGTCGGTCTTCCCAAGTCTACGTCGGCTGCGTCTGCGTCATTGATTACCCGTCCGGCTACGGTTGGGCCTACCCGCTCAAGGCGTTCGACGGCCTCAACATCGTTCTCGCGCTCCGCGATTGGTGCGCTCGGTATGGTGTCCCAGTTCACATCGTGGTTGACAACGCGCAGTATTTTATTGAAGGCGCATTCGCGGCATGGGCGTCCAGGAAATCGATCGAGCTCGTTCAAACGTCGACAATGCACCCCATGGGGAATGGTCGGGCTGAGAAGTTTGTCCAGGACATCACTCGTGTTCTGTCTCACATCGTATTGCAACGGAACTTAGAAGCCAAGGTCGACCCCCCGGACCTGACGATTTGGCCCGACTGCCTCGATTCGGCGATGTACACTTACCTGAATCACGTCGCCCGGACCACAGCCGTTTCCCCCTACAACGTTGTATTCGGCCAGCATTGCCACGTTCCCGGACATGCGACCTCCGGCCTGCTCGACCCGGAAGCGCTCGACACCTTGCTCACTGACGAATACCGCGCCGACCGCGACGTCCTCCGCGCATGGGCTCTTCAGACCGCTAACCGCAACCGCATCCACGAAACCGAGGCCATCAACGCTACCCGCAAACCCCCGAGAACATATGCGGTCGGTGATTGGGTGTACGTTCATCGCAACGAGCTGGACACGACCTACGTCTCGACCCGCAAGCTCGTCAACCGTTGGACCGGTCCATATCAGATTTCCAAGGCTTACCCCGGTGGCGCCTATCTGCTCCTAGATGAACACGGGACCCCTGCTTTCAACTCGCGCCCTGTCAACCATCTCCGCTTAGTTCCCGCTCGAGTACGCCCTGCGTGGTCCGGCCCCGCGTTTACCGCCGACCTCCCACTCCCGCTCCATGACGACCAATTGGATCCCCCTCCCAACGCTACGACTAAAGAGATCAACAATGACTCTCTCTCCGTCCCTGAACCCATCCCGGACGACCTCCAAGTTTCCCTCGCCGTCCTTTCCGCGGCGCTTCCCTCAGACGACATCTCCTCAAATCCTTGCGAACGCCCCGTCGATCCCGCCCATCCTGTTCGCCGCAGGTGTTGACTCTTCCTCTTTCGACTTCCCGCCTTTCTCCCGTTCCGCTTTTTTCTCGTTTCGGTTTTTTCGCTTTCGCTTCATCAACTCGAACGATCGCTCGCCTCCGTCACCACGCGCCCGCTAATGCCCCCGGGACGGTCCGTCTATACCGCGTCAGTGCCTCTGCGTCGATTAACGTCCTTTTCTTCTTCTTTTCGGTTTCGGATCACTTGTGTTGCGTCTTGTTTCGGTTTCTCGTGACTCGCTTGGCACTGTGGAGGCAGGGGGAGGAATGTGGTGCGGTGAGGAAACAGGTCATATTGCCGCAACCCTAACTCCCTGCGGTAACCCTACCCCACTAGCTAGTTTATATCCCCAGTCACATGACTTGTTGTCGTATTTTTCTACTTGTACATATCCGCGCGCGACTGCGCCGGCTTTCTCTTTTCTTCTTTACCCATAATACATCTATATATCCCTGCCTACCTCAACGCGTCCATACCATGCGCTTACCTCATGACAGCATCCCAACAGTCAGTCAATGTCAATTCCCTGTCAAAACCTGACATCTGCCAAACCTCGCAGCCGCACGCAGCCGCGCTACCCCACACACCCACTGCCTTCATTTCTCCACGCAGCCGCACGTAGCCCCACCTCCCAACACTCGGCGCTTACAAACCCTTCTTCATACTTCCCCACGTACCCGCCCACAGCCTCAGCGTAGCCACCCCATCCCCAGTCTTCTGTTTCTATGCTTCCCCCACCCTTGGCGCTTCTCTTGGCTTCCCTCTCATTCCGCACCCTTCTGCTTCCCCACGCTTCCCCAGCCTTCCCAGAAAAGCATAAATAGCCGCCTCCCCTGAGCTCCCCACTTCCTGATCCCCCAGCAGATCAACACCAGTTCTTCCTAGTCTTGTTCTAGTTCTTGTTTCGGTCTGAATACCATTACCTGTCAACAACCTGCACCACAAGTCGCCTCTATTTCCGTCGGCTCCGCCCATTCTTAACACAGAGCCCATAACTCGTCAAGGACAGTCCGCTCAAGTCGTGTGAGGCGGGCAAACTCCTCTTCGGTTGGAAACTCTTCAAATGTCGCATACTTTGTAAACTGACGGACACGCTGATAATAGCGTCGCTGCTGCGCTCGGTTGACTCCGGCACGGAGATGCAGTACCACTTGCTTCAAACCAAGCCTTTTATTGACGTAGCGCAGAAACATTTGCATGAAATGCTCTTGTACGTTGACTTTGAGGTTTGTGAGGATGCTTGTAGCCGTGTACGCTGCGATCTGTTGGCAATTTCGCATGCGGATGGGGACGAATCCCTGAACATTACAGTAGTCTTGAACCCATGGACGCAACTCTTGCGCGATGAGCGGATTGCCATTGTAGCCTGGATTGTTGAGCAGCTCAAACATCACACTGATGTGCTTGTCGGTGATGTCCGGGAAATCGTGTAGAGGATGATCAGCTGTGGTGGGCAGACGTAGTAGTCAGGACATTGTTTTATGGGAAATTTACAGTATAGTGTACCTCAAAAACTCACCAAGGTAGTACTTGATAAAGAAGGTGGTGTGGCGCGCAAGGACATGAACATCGGCGATGAACGTTGTCAGGCGCTCCCTTTGGACTTGATTGTGATTTTGGATTTGGTGAAGGGAAACCTTCGTGCTGGCGTGTGTCTGCGGGCGGGGTCGTTGAGCTGGTGGTGGTGGCGGGGGTGGTGGTGGCGGGGGTTCATACACCAGGGGTCCACCCGGTGTGCTGGGAAAAAGGAAAGGGATGGGAGCGGGGAGGTTCAACGGACGCTGCAGACCCCTTTCCACAGGTGAAAGCCCTCGCTGCTGGTGCTGCCCGTCGTCATCGCCGGAACTCTCGCCAACCATGTCTGCAATTGCTTGGGGCAAGTGGCGATGGACAGAAGGTGGGAAATCGAATCGCGGGGGTTGCAATGGTGTGGCTGGCAGACGTATGGGCAACCGCGGGGGTAACCGGTGCAACGATCCTCCTCTTCCGCCGTGGTGTGGTAGCTCCGGTAAAGATGCCACAACACAGGTGCCCCTGGAGCGCCTGGTGTGATGGCATGATGGCTGTGCTGTGCCGAGACAGGTGTTGCAGGTGATTGCCGTGATAGCTGTGTGTCAAGAACTCGCGTCAGTGCCGTAGGCTGAGAGCGGGGAGGATTTACAGCCTGGCGCAGTTGTGGCGCAGTCGTGGCTTGTCCACACTGCTGCTGATCGCCGCATCTTCAAGACCACACTCTCCTCCTCTCACACGAAACGTCAAGCGCTCGCAGCTCACGCAACTCATGCAGAGCACACTCTGAGCATGGAAGCGTCAAGCGCTCGCAGCGGACGACAGCCCCCTGGCCAACGCCCACCTCCTTCCAGCTCAAGCCCGGCAACTCACGCAGAGCACGCTCTGAGCATGCTCAGCGCCGACGAGGTGAGTGGCTGCTGTGCAGCCGTGGGCGGACCGCCTGGGCTCGCGGTCCATGTTGAGCACGACCGCCGCTTGCGGGAGGTCGACCTGCATGGGCTGTGCTGTCTGGGCGTGTTTGTCTGGGCGTGTTTGCTATACGCTGACCTTGCGGTCCATGTTGAGCACGACCGCCGCTTGAGGTCGCCTTGCCTGGGATGCGCTGCCGTGCCGCGGCAGTGGTCGCGATCGGGCTAGGTCTGCTAACACCTTCCCTCCCCCCCTTCCCCTCTACCGCGCCACAGGCCACGCCCCCCGTCGCACCCACCGCGGTCGAGGCTCTTCTGATGGGCATGGGCGAGAGCCGCGCCACAGGTATCTTCGGCGACACGGTGGCCTTTTTGTATCCCCTGCTGGTAGACGCCGGCCTTGCCGCCGGGGACGCCAGCCTAGAAGACAAGGCCAAGGCGATTGGCCTTTTTTCAAAGAAGATCAAGCAAGACAACCCCACCCTTTGGGGTTGGTGGATCAATAGGCCAACGCGGTCCCGTCACCAGAAGAAGCGCGCCAAGCACCACATTGGGCTCCAGTCCGGCATCATCGCCGCGATCAGCGATGGCAGTCTTACCACGGCCGACTTCTTGGTGGACCCCCAGCCCTCCGCTAGCCGCCCGGCTGTTCACATCGTGGTGCCAATGCCCGCCTCGTGCGATGGCTGGGAGGGCAAGATGGTCTTTGCGGGGTTTGGGGAGAGGCCGGCGAAGGCGAGGGGCCTGGATGAGCTTGAGCAAATTGAACCACGGGCGGGGGCCGACATCTACATCCGCGACGAGCACGGCGCCCTTGTGGCCACAATCTCGTACAATACCGCGGGGCGTCGCAAACACGACCTGCGGCTGGGGCTCATGATCGAGTCCTGTGGATCCCGGCCGGCTGTGGTTCGATGGAAGGCCTCAAGGGGCACAATGCATACCCCGGGGCTTTGTCGTGGCAACAAGAACTCGGGATATGCCAGGGGGACATCGCACTATTCAATGAAAGGAGGGGCAGACATGTCCGCAAAGAAGTTTCTCGTCGCCACGGAAAAGGCCTTCACCAAGCGACTGCTGCTGGAGCTCGCCAAACGCAACCCCACCGCGGTGGCCTACCTGATGATGGCCATGCCAGAGGTGTACGGGCCAAATTCCGATGAGTTCCCCCCGCTGTTCGCCTCCACCAACCATCAAGTGGTCGTTCACTCCGACCCGTCGGACGACGGCGTAGCCGGTGAGCTGAACCCACACACAGGCCGCGCCATATGGAAGCTGACCCCCAAGGAGGAGCTTCCGGAGGAGCTTCAGGCCCCCAAGCTCTGCACGCAATGGGTGGCAGGCTACGCCGCCGCTCCGCCAACCGTCGTCGGCGAGTGGATATTTGCGCTGCCAGAGCAAGGCCTCTACTTGGTGCTGCAGCCCGACTGCATGTGGACGTGGATGTCTGACAAGCTCCACAGAACGGCGGTGCTTGACACGTCCGGCGCCAGTCGCCACACGGCTGTTGTGACGCTGCCCCTGGCGACGGCCGCGGCCATCCGGAAATACGGCCTCCCTGATGAAGATGAGGACAATCCGTACCCACACCACCACCACAAAACGACCGCGAACCCTGCACCAACATCGTCGTGCGCCTCGAACAGGGCAAAACAATACGGCTCCTCAACTTCCACGCAAAGCAAAGTGGTTGAATGAAACTATTAGCATATCCGAAGATCAGGTTCGTCCCTCCCCGTCTCCTCCCCATCCCCCTTCTTCCACTCACCCCTATCTATTTTCCAGGGGCAATAGCTCTTTGCCCTCCTCCCCCGCCGGGTCGCCATCTCGCGCTCTCGGGGTCACCACACCAACAACAAGCGCCGTTCGGGCCGGCGTGCCCATCGGCGTCAAAGCCGCCAGCTGCTCGGGGAATGTGCTTTGGCATCTTCGTGTGTATCGATGCTACAAAACGTCAAGGATGCGACAGGACCCGTTTTGAGGAGATTGCGCTCCACCTTGACCACCAGCGTCAGTTAGCTTACCCCGTGACGATAAACGGTGCACAGACGTCTGGTACCATGATCGGTGTTGGCTGGCGTGCAGGTACAGATCGTGGAAAAAGCATGGGGATCTACCAACCGCGAAAAAAGGATTCCGTCAGCAAGGAGAAGTGGGTCGCGTTACAAGCTGAGTTACCGAAGATCGAGGCACATTACGTATACTTTCTCAATAAGCTTTCGCCTTACCTCTTGTCTCGCATCAAAAAGCGGGCAAAGGAACTACGCGTGCCAAGCTTTTCACAAGCGGAATTCGGCAACCTCGTTGCAGACGACTCTCTCGCCAGCAATATCACCGCCACATGGGATGATTTTGCCAATAAATTCCACCGCGATAACCACACATCAAAATTCACATACGGAATCTGGCTCCCAGTATCGGACAAGACAGGCAAGCTGAAGAGCAAGGCGGATGGATTCGCCTGTCATGGTGGAGTCTTTGTGAATGCGGACTACCGTGTGTATGTGGATTTTGATGCGTGCGACGGCGTAGTCGAGATCGTTTGGCGAGGGCCTGAGGATGCACACGCAACCACATCATCCGTCAGAGGCCAAGACTCGAATCGCCTTGGGACCTCCGTTCAAATCAATGAGAAGCTGGCAAAACGAGTCAAGCGGTTGTTGCAGCTACGGGAGGAGGAGGGTATCAATGCCGCGGCGGGACGCATCCGTGGGGTTGCGGAGACTTTAGAGCGATCGGGCTGACTCATTCTGATTTGTATCTAATACCATAAACTCTACATATATACAGTATGTGTGTTTTTTTCGTACGCCGGTAGTAGTGTTTTTACACCTACAAGTCGTACATTTTACAGCAAAGAGAATAGATGGGGCACGGTGCCCAGGCACTTCCCGGTTTGACGTGCGGGGGACGAATTTCTCCCCAAAACCCATTGAGGGCTGACTAGTACAGCGTGGGGCGAAAATTGGTCCCCCGACGGCGTCGCGGAGAATAGATGTCAAGTTGCCAGTCACCAGTATCCCTCATATCGCCGCCATCTTTGGGTCGGATCGCGCACGGGGCTCTCGTAGCCCCTCATATTATCTCCCATATCATCAAATGCATCTCATTTACTATTTCGCCGAAGTCGGGTCTCGCCGTGCGCGATCCGGCGTCGTTGGGTCCAAAGATGTGCTGGATCATATGTATTTATTATCATTTATAATATACGTGTACGCGGTTTCGCCCGCGAAGGTCGCTCGCTAGCTCTCCCCCAAAAGGGGGGGAGCTCAGTGGAGCGATCAAACTCAGGCCTGCAATTGCTCCGCGTCTCTTATATAATTGACAGGCGAGCGGTGCATAATCAGCTCCGACCCATCTTTTCCCTTCATAATGGTTTGCTACATGCTAGATAGGTATGAGTTGCATGCAGAGCCTCCAAATATGCAGACATTGTAATTCTGAGGTGACAGGTCACCTCAGATATATTGAAGATTGCCAAAAAGAACAAGAAAGGATGAAGCAGGTGGTGAGACCCCAGCAGACCGCAAAGCCTGATGTATCTTTTTCCTTGCGCCTGCGACGGTTATCAAATATCGATGCTTTCATGCGCGCCGATATCCAAAGACCGTATCCGCACTCAGCTGCCGAGCATCTGCCTCCCGGAAAACAATGTCGTTTACATCAACCTCCAGCTTTTCCTTCATCCGAGATATGTGAACCTTTGCGGACTGCTTATGCTCACGTATCAGCTTTCGCTTCTCCTAATAACGGATAGAGGAGCATAATCAGTTACGCAGGTACAGCAGCGGCGCGGTAAAGAGGATGTATCCACCTCGGCATGAGCCTTCAAAATAAGATCCTCCTCTTTCTCAGTTTCCTTCAATCGCTCGGTCAAGATCTCCAGCTGATCCCGGTAGAACTTTTCTTTTGCTTGCTGCTTCTTCTTGATCTCTGAGATGAGGGCTGATTCGGACTCCTTTTGCAGTTTACGACCCTCTATAATGGCTTCCCGCTGCTTTCGCTGATAGTCTTCGTACAGGAACTTCACCAGCTGAAAGAAATGACGAACGAGGAGGGATTGGTGTGTGTTCCTATAGGCTTCCTCCATCTGAAGAAAGACGTTGTCGGATTTACCTGCTCATCCTTGTTCCGCAACTTGATATTGTACCGTTCAACGAGTTCTTCCGCTTCCCGCTTTTGCTTTTCCATCGCCGCCAAGCGTCGTCGTCGTTCTTGTTGTGCGGCTCTCCCCGATTGCAGGGTCGCATTCTCCTTATGTTGTTGCCGCTGAACTCACTGTAAGTACCGGGATGATCACCACATCTGTGGCCAAGAGCCCTCGCATACCCGTAAAAAGTCCGATGCAGTCGATTCCGCCAAGTGTTTCAAAGGCCGAAGCTCATCGATGGCCTGTCCTACGGCCGCTTGCTAGAAGGATACAGTCAGCACCTTGCCACAACCTGTCTCGGCCCAGAAGACGAGCCAGTTCCCAACATACCTTCTTGACCTTCCTCTTCCATAGCCGGTCATCAAGCGCCTTCTCCCACGTTCCAAGCACATTATTCCGAGTTCGCTCCGAAATTGTGGTTGATGATGCAGCCGCTGGCAAAGTTTCCTCCACTTCGCGCTCGAACTGCTCGAGGTGTGCTTCTGCTGGCACAAATTCCTCTTTCGCATGATTCGAGCTTCGGCGGGGCGAGCTTCCATGAAAAGAGCTCATGTCCCCAGAGTCGTCGTGCCGATTCCGCATTTTGGTTTTCACAGTAGGTTTTGGCGGTTCTCGTGATGTTTGGCCTTTTGTTTTCAGGGTCGGCTTTGGAGCGCGTACGTGTGATGCTGCCCGCAGCATATTCAGTCTTCGCCTTTTCAAAGCCCTGGTATACGGTGTGTCTGTCGCCAGAAGTTTCAGCAGCGACTGTCCTTTCTGATAATAAGATTTTAGAGCTAAGACGAACTCATCCGCAGGAATCTCGACGCACAACGCACCGTTGGTGTAGCTTTGCGTCTGGTTCCGACAGGCTGCTCTCGATGTGATACTGAGGATTTCTCGCGTCGCAATGATGTGCCTAAGCTGGTGTTTGCATTTCGTGTGCGACCAGATGTACTCGTAGCCTCATTGCCTTGACTCTGAAGGTATTCCGAAATGTCGTCCGTCACTGTCGTCGCAATGTCTGTCGCGGAGCCTGCTCGCCGCCTTCGCTTTTTGGGTGGACTGTGAGATATCCCCGGGGGTGGTGGCGCGAGATCCTCGTCCGAGTCGAACTGACTCTCAGGTGCAACCTCCGAGATCCCCGATATGTCTAACTCATGCTCCAGAGTTTCCGCATAATGCCCCGAACTATTGGATGGTATCCCCGCCGGCTGATCATTTTCGTCATCGTCGTGGTCAAGATCATCAGTCTCAGGATCCGATCCCGGCGCGTCGTCAGTTTCATAGTCTTCCTCCGACTCGAACGCCCCTTCAGAGTTCCCGGCCGCTTCCCTACTGAGGCCAGACCTATCTGCCGCTCGCTCGTTGAGGTTCTCGCTTCCACGCTCAACCACTCTGCCCAGCTCTCTGAAAATCTGTATCAAGTTGGCCACCGTAGCTGTGTCTCCTCTCACAACTTTGCTTGGTATGATGTGACTCAAGTCGGTCCGAAGAACAGTTTTGGACAGCTCGCCAATGACAAGTCGAACGTTGTGCAGACGGCCCTGTTCTGTTGACGCCGGTGGCCCGCGCAATAGTCCCGGTATGCGGACTTGGAAGAGACCTATTTGGAAGGACCGGTTTATCAGAAGGAGCCAGTCAATGGGCTCTGGAACTCGAAGGCCACACCTTCGTAAAGAGCAACCCATATAGCCGGAACACACTCTTTCAAGGTCGCTACTGTGATGGGCACCCCGATTTGTGCCAAAAGCTTGCTGACTATGCCTGGTAGATCTGCAAAGGCGAGCGAAGTTAGCCACAGGTAGTGCGATAGATAGCGGAGAGAACAACTCACCTTCTTCTGCCTGGCGATTTTCCGAGCTACCCTGCGTTGCTCTCACATTACGCCGCATTCTGCCCGTTCGACCCTGTCGGTCTTTGTTCTTTCGCACCAGAGTGCCTCCATGCGTTTTGAGGACCGTCTCGCACACGACGCGACGTGAGTGAGCAAACGCTTTCAGCGGAGTTTAACGCTGAGTTCAACGGGTCGATAACTCCGAGGAACGCAAACTTCAATATTCAACGAGTCCTTTGTGTAAGGATAGTGCATGTAACGGGAAGCATCGTCTGCAGGAGGTTTTCCGCTCTCTCCCGCAAGTTCAAAGCTTTCGGCCACTCAGTGCGAGAGACCCCGACAGCTACTTATGAAGGCATCGGTACTCGTGTTTGAAACAAAGATGGCTTCATGATGGCCAAAGCCGGCGTGGCCCGTGTACGCTTGCAATCTGATTATGGGAAGGAAGAAGTATCGGGCCCTCCTTCATCGGCCTCCATACAATCGCCCTACGTACAGTACGACCCCTAATCGCTACATATACAGGGCAGACTACATATACACATACAGTACATACATATATACGCCGGCATCCCACAACACGTTCATATACACTGAGGGTATATGAACGTTTGATGACGCGTGTGACGGCGTCACATCTAGCTGTCACACTTAAGAGGTGTGACATGGCGTCACATACCATCGAACGGCGAGGAACCACGTGCAGACGCGTCTTTGTCATATTAAATGGAATAAAACCCCAATAAGCGAAGATAACGCGCTGTCGCTTTTCGCTGTCAGTCCGCCGCTCCATCAGCCGCTTATCAGCCGCTCTCCATATCACGCCCCACCCACCCCCCGCTTTCCCCCAACACTTGCTTGCATATACTGTTGTTTTTCGCACCCCCATACCTTCTGTCCTTGGGAAATGCTTCAAACTGCGCCATTCATCCGTAGCGATCTTGCGAGCATGTCAAAACGGACAGAAGGGTCGTAGCGGTCTTGGGGCAGCACGTTTCGGCAGCAAGCACGTCAGAACATCAAAACGGACAGAAGGGAGGGTAGTAGTAAAGGGTAGTAGTATCTTTGCCTTGCCATCCTTTCGCACCCCACACCTTCTGTCCGGGGGAAAGGCTAGAATATGCACCATTCGTCAGTGGCAGTTTCGGCAGCACGTGAAAACGGACAGAAGGGTCCGTCATATTACAGGAGTTCTGGAGAGGATTAGTCTCCCGTTTGTCAGAGAGGCACATAGCAAGGGCCGGAAAAGAAAAGGGTGAATGAAAGGTGAAAGGAGTGAAAGGTGCAGTGGAGAGAAAAGAAAAGGGTGAAAGGTGAAAAGAGTGAGAGGTGCGATGCGGTGGAGAGATAAATGAATTCCCCATGTGAAAAGTGTAAGAGTGAAAGAAAGGTGTGGTGGAGAGATAAACCAATTTCCCCATGTGAAAGGTGCGGGTGCGGGGCTGAAATGAAATGGAATGAAATGGAATGAAATGAAATATGTCCGGGTGAAAGGTGAAAAGAGTGTCCGGGTGACAGGTGAAAAGAGTGAAAGGTGCGGCGGAAATGTCACGCCTCACCCCCAAACCTTTCACATGGTGGAGAGATAAACGAATTCCACATGTGAAAGGTGTGGGGGTGAGGCGTGACATGTCCGGGTGAAAAAGTGAAAAGAGTCAAAGGTGCGGTGCGGTGGAGAGATAAACGAATTCCCCATGTGAAAGGTGTGGGGATGAGGCGTATGGGGGATGGAGAATTGCAACTGGCCAGCGGGGGGGAGGGAGGGGGGGACATGATGCAGGCTGGCATATGATTGGAGGGGTACTCAAGCGTTCCTCTTCTGCCAACCACAACAACAACGCCTTCCACAACAACAACAACAACAACAACAACAACAACAACAACAACGACAATAACTTCTTTTTAAAAACCCCTCTAAGGTTGGTACCTGCCTGTTTGGCCGCCCTCTTGATTAGCGGAGGTGTAGAGGTGAACTTACCGAAAACCTGCACTGCTTGATAGATACAACCTTCTCGTGTGAGTATGTCATCCCTCGAAGAGAAGAAGGCCGCGCTCAAGGCCAAGAAGAAGGCGCTTGAGGGGGAGGAAGCAGAAATCCGACGGTTGGAGGAGGAGGCTGCAGCCGCAAGCAGCTCGAAGGGAAAGGGGCGAGCGCGGGAGGAGGAGGAGGAGAAGGAGGAGAAGGGGGCGAAGAAACCCCGTTTCGGCGAGGCTCAAGCCAAGCTTGGCAAGAAGCTGATGGACGACGCCGATCGAGCAAACATCAACCGGATGTTGTTCAACCACCCACGGAATTTGCTGCGGGTACCATCAAACTCCTCAGGCGAGCTGATTCTTGGCTCCAGAGCTCCGGGAGCAGGGTTGGTGACTTGAGGACGGGTGTACGCATCGGCTTGGACCTGGGCAGCAATGTTCTGGGCAGCTTGTGCGTCGGCTTGGGCTTGCGGTAGGTTGGCCTGCAAGTTGGCGTTTTGGCTTTGCAAGGCGGCAATGGCTTGGCACATATCGTTCCATTGCTCGGCGGTGAAAGGTACGGATTCGGATTGGGACATGGCGAAAAGGTGTGGCAGATGCAGGGCTGGACGGGTTCTGAACTTCGCAGTGTTGGAGCAGATCAAACTGTTATGATCTCGACGACGGGGGCGGAAGCGAAGTAGAGAAGACAGGGTGAGTGTGATAGGCGACCAGAGGTTGTATTGGCGAAACAAGAAACAAGGACTAGAACAGGAGATGAGAAGAACTGGTGTTGATCTGCTGGGGAGGAAGGGAATGGACGAAGAGAGGCCGGCTATTTATAGATAGGCAACCCAGCAGATCAGAGAACAACAACAACAAGAGGGGACTGGGGGGGCGCCAGCTATGCTCCTAGAGCGTGCGTGGCGAGCGTAGAGAGCATTGCTACAGCTGCTGGCAATGGGGAAGTAGTGGGGGGTGTGGAGAAGCTGAGGGGGGATTGGCGAAATGAGAGGAGAGAGAAGGAGTGGCCATGTTGCAAGAGGATTGGCAAAATGAGAGGAGAGAGGGGGAGTGGCATTGACATTGTCATTGACACTGACATTGACACTGACATTGACATTGACATTGGCGTTTGACATTTGGCGGTTGACATTGGTGGCTGTCAGTAGGTAAGCTTATGGTATGGGCGCGTCGTCCATAACATCACCCCTCTCTTTAGCGGCGGCGGCGGCGGCGTCGAGTTTGGTGTGGCCGCAGAGGAGGTGCTACGGGGACAGAGGAAGGCTTGTTGGGGTACGCGCTGTGGAAGTCCTGGAGGAGTGCGTCGGTATGGGTGAGGTGTTCCACGGGCTCCCAGGTGTTCTCGGAGTCAGGCCAGCCCTGCCATTTGACCAAGTACTGAAGGCGACGACAATGGATGCGAGAGTCAAGGATGGCTTCGACAACCCACTCTTCTTGACCCTCAACGGCCTCTGGGGACGCGGGTTCGGGTTTGTGTCGTTTGGGGATGGTGAAGCGGGGTTCGAGGAGCGAGACATGGAAGACATTGTGGATTTTGTACGGAGGCAGGGGCTTGAGCCGGTAGGCGACTGCATTGATCTTTTCAACGATGGGAAATGGCCCAATCTCGCGATGGTTGAGCTTCGGAGAGGGCCGGGTCGTCTGGAGGTTTTTTCGGAGGAGCCAGACGTGGTCGCCAGGCTTGAAGTTCCGGTCCAGGAATTCGTTTAGCGTCGGCGTAGCGCTTCATTTGATCTTGGGCTTCCTTGAGCTCGAGGGCGAGCTGTTCATGGACTTCCCTGATTTGTTTAGCGCGGGCTTCAGCGGCGGGGTTGACGGATTCGGAGGTAGCAGAGGCCGCGAAACTGAAGCGGGGGTGGAGACCCTTGTTGGCGTAGAAGGGGGTGGTCTGGGAGGCGGACTGGTGGGTGTTGTTGTAGGCGAACTCGGCGGACGACAGAAGCTGCTTTCCAGTTGTCCTGTTGGTGGTTGCAAAAGCATCGGAGATACTGCTCCAGGATCTGGTTGGTGCGTTCCGTCTGGCCATCGCTCTGGGGGTGGAAGGCCGAGGAGAGGTTGGCTTTTGCCCCAAGGAGTTCGAGAAGTCGACGCCAGAACCGGGACTTAAGCTGGGGTCCTCGGTCAGAGATGACGTCGTCGGGGAGGCCGTGGAGACGGATGATGTTGTGGAAGACTAGGTCGGCGGTGGATTCGGCGGATTCTGACTTCGCTGCAGGCGATGAAGTGGGCCATCTTGGTGAGGCGACAGTTGACGTTCAGGATGGAGTCGTACCCGTCCACGGGAGGCAGGCCGGTAATAAAGTCCAGGGACCAAGATCCCCAAGGGCGGGTAGGGATACTGTTGGGCTGGAGTAGGCCATATGGTTTGTGTCGACTGGATTTCGCTTGGCTACAGGTATCGCAGGACTTGACGTAGGCCTTGACGAAGCGCCACTGGCTGGGCCACCAGTAGTTGCGGGAGGCGAGTTCGAGCGTCTTGGACATCCCAAAGTGGCCGACTAGGGGTGTATCGTGCATGTCGTGGCAGACTTCAGCTCGGAGCTCGTTGGTGGGGACATAGACCAGGTTATCGTGCAGCAGGATCCCATCTTCATCTGAGAACCGCTTGATACGATCTTGGGTTTCCTCGGTTCGTTGGGCGAGGGGTATCTTGAGCTTTTCGCGAATGGTCTTAGCGAGGGGATCAGAGGCCTGGGCGGCCTTAATCTTGTCAAGCAGCGTGGTATCCATGGGTGTGAGGTAGGCCGCGGCGAGTCGAAGGCGTTCGGGAGTCAAAATTGTGGTTGCCTGGGAGCGGAACGCTTCTTCCCCCTCTTTTAGCTCATGTTCGGAGCGTCGGGAGAGGGCATCGGCTTGGTGCTGCTGGGAACCGGGGCGATAGGTAATGACAAAGTCAAAATCCGAGAAGAATATCGACCAGCGGGCTTGGCGGCGGTTCAGGGTGCGGGTGGTCATGAAGTACTGAAGGTTTTTATGGTCGGAGTAAACGGTGATCTTGTGACGGGCGCCAATGAGATGGTGTCGCCACTGGGCAAAGGAGTCTTGGATGGCCAGAAGTTCCTTGTCGTAGATCTCGTAGTTGATCTCTTCGGCCGTGAATTTGCGAGAGTGGAAGGCCACGGGGTGGAGCTGATTGTCCTGGTCAGGTTGGAGGAGAACTGCGCCAAGAGCGAAGTCGGAGGCGTCAGTTTCGACGACGAAGGGCTTCTCTGGGTCAGGGTGAGCAAGGATGGGGGCGGTGGTGAA